CTGGAATTCCTGAAGCTGGTACAGCAGAGTTGTACTGGGGATTACATTTGGACATATTTGAAGAAAAGAACAAAATAAGAAAAGCGTAGACCTTTATGTTAAATATAGTCAAACTCTGTGTGTGTGAATCTGTGTGCACATGCACACACATATACATACTATAGGCTTATCCAGGTGGTCATAGCCAGAAAGAAAACAGATATTTCCAAGAGTTTTCAGGAGAAGTTCATGTATAGGCACTAGGAAAGTTGTACAGATGGTCCTTCTGTCTGGCAAAGCTTTGAGTAAGGAAAGGAATAGTGGAAGGAATTCTCTTGATGGGGTTCTGTGCTTAGCCATATATTTATTACATTTAACAAATGAAGCAGGCTGGCAATTAGGTGGTATACTTCTGGAAAGAAAGTTCAAAAGGTTATCTTTCTAGCAGCTCATCCCTTTACTAAGAAATGGGTGAGGTTTATAAAATGGTAAAGAGATGACTATGTGATTCACATTTGCTTGATATGCTGCAGGAGAGAAACCTCTGCATCCCTAATCACTAAACAGGGTGGGCCTCTGATCAAGAGGAGGGTGTGACCAGAGGTGATAAGAAATCGGGTGACTACAATTTTCATTTTTATATTTCCTACAATATTTTATACTTCCTTCATTATACAAATGTTCTGGCAGACAGCCTGAACCCTGATCTCTCAAGGCTAAGAGAATCCCAGCTGGAGGCAGGTGATGAGAGCCTTACCAAAACTATATATAAGAACATGCAGTAATCTCAAACCTGAATTAAATTAGATATCTAATCAGCGAATTCTCCCAGAACACTTCTCCCTCGACACCTCCATCTGGACACTGAGTCAGATACCTGGGTGTAAGGAAGTTTCTAAAAGACAGGGAAATAACCGCTGTTACTTCCTCATAACCCCTTCTGGCCCATTCGGCACCATGACAGGTCCTTCTCTTAAAACACTAAAGAAGAAAACGTTCTGTTAGAAAGGCTTTTCTAGCTCTAGTGGAAGATTAATTCCTCTTGTTGGTCATAAAAAGGAGTGACATGATTGCTGCCTCCCTTGCAGACTTGGGCCCTACATCCCAAAAGAAATACCATTAAAAATCACTGCAAAATGACTGGCGTTGCAAATTCCAAACTAGACTGATGTTCCCACAAACACATTTTTACCACATGCCTTAACAAAGCATGCCTCACTATGCAAGGTGGTAACTGCAAGCTAACTGTGTCTCTTCTTGATTCGATACGGGCAGTATAAAAAGCAAAATAATGCAAATATATAAATAACCCATTTTTTCAGGTATTTCTTTTTCCAGAAATCAACATTATGTTCTGCTTTGTCCAAAATGCTTATGCCCCGGCTATATAGCTTGGCTGTACTTCTCTGTACGTATTACGTGGGTGTCGATGAAAATATGTGTGCTTTCAAGTCTGTTACATCAGAGCTGTAACAAAGACGCATCTAACTCTTCCTGGTAGGACTCCTGTGTCTTATCAAGATAACTCTCCTATTTAACCCACTTTTGAAATTCCCCTCCCGTTAGTTGCTCTCGTTTCACTTTGTCCAGCTGAAAGCTCTGTCATCTGCAGCCTGGATGGATCCAGCCGAGGTAACCGTACAAATTCCCCTCCTGCCACTGGCCAGACCTGCGGATCTGCTAGGGGTTATCAGCAAAGCAGCAGGGTCAGCAAGAGCAATGGATGACTGTGTCCCAATTCGTAGTGCACTATATCAGTCTTAATTGAGGATTAAGGAGAGTATAAGTTAGGACGCTGCAGCACGTATTGGGTTATTGAGTCACCAGCTTTTTCCTCACTGAATGTGGGAACCAGCACTTGAAACAGTCTGGGAGAAAAAAAAAAATCCTATCCAGAGGAGGGAAAGCTATAGAAACATATAGCAATGCTCTCCAAAAGCAGGGAGAAGAGAGGACTGTACTCCTCTGCAGTTCCACAGTTCTCCTGCAGCTCAATCTGATGTGCACAGGTTAGCTATTAACAGGCAGATCAGGAGACAACCCTGCGCTTCCAGCCTGTGCACCAAATGACAGAGCAAATTTCACAAGCTTTCCCTTCCTGAAAGCTGACAAAATAGTGCAATTTCAGCTTCAGCTGTGGGGTTTTTTTTTCCCCATATTTAAAATGACTTAGATATAGAACCATCCACAGTTTGCCAACAGACACAGAAAACAGGTGAATAAACTGACTGATAGATGACGACTTTGTGTAAGCACGACATCATTCCAAGGCCATGCCCAACAAAATGACTGGAGACCGGCTCGTAGCGAAAGTGGCTATACCACACATACATATGAGTAATTACTAGCTGAACCAGAACTAATGCTACAAAGAGCTATAGCAATTGTTAGCCAAATTGAGTCTGCCGTGGCAGATGCTAAAATAATTGCTCAGGGGGATTACAGGCTATAGCCGAGAAGTTAATTCATTAGAAGCGTAATCTTCAGAGTGGCAATGGACGAGCAGACAAAATGGTAGCAGAGAGAGCACAATTCTTTAATCAAACAAGCACTACTGCCCTCCTTCCTCACCTTCTATTTCCCTATTTGTATGAACAACTCATGCTTCAGTTAATGAACAAAACTGCATATGTTTGTTTACTAGCTAGCCTGAACAAATTTCCCAGTGTCTTGGGTTTGGAAAAAACCAGAACGTTTTGCTAGTGCATTGTACAGTCATCAGTAATCCAATACATAAAGTCACTGTCCCTGCTATAAATCCCTTGCATGAAAAGAGTGGAGTATTGTTAAATAGCTGTGACAGATACTGGTTTCACCTGGCAAGATATTTCGGGAAACAAATATTCCTCAAACATTCATATAGGTATTGTCTACAGGAATGTCTGCATGGGTACTCGCAGGAGTAAAAATTATATTCTACGGGGAGGGCTTTTTTACAAAGGATACTTGTTTATTTCTCAACTAAAGAAGAGAACTCCCAGGTGACTTGTCTGACCAGTATGAACTAACCCTTGGCTCTACTCGGATGCAATTCCTAGCAGAGCAAAGGCTCATTTATGTCCAGCCCAGTCCACAAAATAGAGGTTATAGAGGATGTCATTGGCAAATCGGTCACATGCTGGCTATCTGCAAAGGTGCATATGTCCCTGCAGAAAGGGAAGCCACTTGAAGGAGAAAGAGAATTGGTTAGACACTGAATTTATTTTCCATTATTTTTTGAGATTTGAACGCAGGCTGTTAAAATTAGTCTAGCCCTGAGCATTGATTACTTGTATATATGCACCTCCAGGACACAGACACAAAGCAATAAAACAATACCATTTCATTTGGCACAACTAACTGTAGAGGAAACAATGCTTGACATAAACTAGATAAAAATAAATATTAGGCAAATATACACCAGACTGCTGCTTACTGAGAACTCCAAAGTGGCTTTTATGAGTTTATAAGCTTGGATGTGTGCAAAAGAAAATAGCAAAATTAGCTTTGCAGCCAGGTTGCCATCCTAACTCATGCTGAATAGTACTTCACCTCACAAAGCACACAACTAATTTACAGCTCAGCGTGATGAAGCAGGAGAGAATCTATTGCAACATGTAAAATAGGAAGGCTTTCCTACAGATATTATGCAGAAGTTCAGCAAAGGTCAGTATGGAAAACAAGTCTGTAGCCACGCTCCAAATCACCCCGGGCTTTACAAACCAGGTCCTCCTGGACTGCTTCTGGAAGTGACAGCAACCCAACAAAGGGTACTGTGGCAAAGACAGTACAGGAAACCCATTTCTATTAAATGAAGAGGTCACTGTGTAACATACATGATGGATTTTCTCAGGGGTCCTAAGAAAGTTTCGTAGAGGTCTAAAAAGGGCAATGGCAGAGGAGAAAAGGTAGCTGCTTTCACTAAGCAAACATAGCAGCTCTGCCAGTCCAATCTAATCAGAAAGGAAATTTTAAATGAAATATTTTTTGAAGACTATTGCTGATTTATCACCATATAGGAAAGATACACATTTGAAAAAAGGGTTGACAAATTTTCACAACCATAACTGTTTCTGAGTTCAGAATGATTTAATTTGTCAGACATAATTCATTACCCCCCTCATCCAGACTTTTCTGTAAGATGCTTAAATGTCTGCTTTCAGTTGCAAGAGTCACCACCAGAAAGTTATAAAATAAAATCGTGAGATGACTAGTGCTCTAGTACATATGTATATTACATATATATAGCACATACACTAGCATAATTAGCTGATTAGCAGCCAGTGTGATTGCCATCCTTTAAACCCATAAATTTTTTTCATCAAACTTCCCTCTTAGATTTGGACACTAAATATGTCCAAAGTGATGGCACTACCACACATATAGAGGCAGGCAATTTCCAAATACCCATGGTGTAACCTCCTCTTTAATGACCTGCTGAAAGACAGCATACTGTGCCATTCAAATAATGTTTACAATTAATATGCCTCTTCAAAATGGCCACCTCAAAAAAGACTACTATCCACTAACAACAGACTAAAAGTACAATCCAAAGTAGTTACCACTGCCTGCAAATGAGGCATTTTTCTGAAGGCTGGATATCAAATGCCTTTTTTTTCTGCAAAAAAACCCTTGCACAAATCAGAAAAACACAAACACGGGTATATTCAGTTTGGACACCTAGCACGTTTCTGATAAAAAAGTTATGAAAACTGACTCATTTTTATATAAGCTTTTTTAAGTTTGTCACTAGACCTGATTTTTTTACCTTGACATTTTATCAATTGTTTAAATATATACACTCGGTCTGATTTTTAAAGTTGAGTTTTTATTAATTCTTCAACTATATCTGATATATGTGTATAAAATAAGCACTCTTCTGACAGACACATTCTCCTCAGGTCATCACTTGGTGAACTTTACACAGCAGCTTGGGGATGAGCAAATTGACCTGTAGCACCTGTTTGAGACAACGTTTGGAAAATGCCTCACTACATCATGCACTTATTTGATGTTTTCCCTACGGACAAGAAGCAACAGACCTTACATTAGGGTCCTGCAGGCTGGAGGTCTTACTGGGATTTACAAAAGAGGTCTCTTCTTTCACAGCCTGTTAAAAGAAGGAGTCAAAGTTTAGTACAACATCTATATACTTAGGATAATAAAACTGTTTATTAAAAAAATATTCCTGGAAGCTGCCCAGAAAATTGCAATACTCAAAATGCCTACTCTGCCCAGATTTAAAAGGCACAGTGATTTTTCTTTTTCACCTCTTACAGTTGAGATCCACTATGATGAGCTACAATGTACAATGTGCAGAGCAATAGTGTTAGGAAGAGATTGGCTAGGGATAAAGGAGGAGAGAGAAAGGAACACTGATATTTACGGTTCCTCGAGAAAGCATTTGAGCAGAAATAACAAAAATCAACCCAGGCAAGCATACTGTAGTTGAGTTGTTCTTTTAATTGGAGTAGAATAAATATTTATGTAGTCTAATCAAAATAACGATGCCAACTTTTCATTCGGTCTTTGAAAAATTAATTGAAAAATGGAATCCCCCACATATAATCACACTGTACATGCAATTCACAGAAAATCTCACCCACTACTGCTCTCTGCTAAATTACAGTCCTGTCTCTCACATACCATTTGTATATAGAGTTGAAAATACTAGTATTGCAAAATGACTTACATGAAAATTGCTTGATTACCCAGAAAACAACCAATGCGGGCAGGTGTCGGGTTATACTCTTCAACTGAGATGCAGGGTTCCACAATTCCTGTGTCAAACACTGCACCCCTCTACAGAAAATACTGGCTGAAGACACAAGAGTATCTCCAAATCAGTAATGGACTTGGCAGGCTCTGACATTTCCATTCTGCTAAATGGATAGAAGGGAACTGATATGGTCCTACGACAGAGGGATTTTTCGGTGTTCAATAGCTGAACCATAATAATTTGAGGCCATCGGTCCAGATCAAACGGAGTTAAATGTGTCAGTCTCATCCTCTTCAAAAAGGATGAGACAGGTTCCTTCAAATCCATCAAATCCAAATCAAAGGATTTTACAGGCATGTAAAAATACTGTAAATTTGATGTGAGACCTTCCATTCAACACAAATTGATAGATTTCATTTGAGGGTACTCATAAGAAAGAAAATCAAAGCTGAGTTTCTTCTACACCTTAGCAATGAACCACAAAATATCAGTAGGGATGCTCCGTGCTTGGGGAAATCACCCAAGCTGTGGCAGTTTTAGATTCGTTTCTCCCTTGTGCCAGAGAGAACAAAACCCTCATGGTCACTCCCCAGGTCATTATTTACCAGAGCATCAGCCATGGTGGGAACAGACTGTTCCAGTTTGTACACACAATTAACTGTACGGACAATTAAACTGGAACCACTGGGAGCGTGGCAGAAAGTGAACTTTGTCCTGGGTGTACTCCAGCCCAGGCAAATACCTGAGGTGATGGTTGCTTCCACAACCCTTCGTGTTAGAGTTGTTACACCTTGGATATTGATGCCAAACCCACCATTCTGCAGAGAGGGGACCCTCTGAACCTCATCAGCAGGTTTGTCCATCTCCTGGGGGCTAGGTTACACAGAAGAAGCTAGTTTACAGCTGGTTTACTCAGAGGAGAACAGGATCAGCAGTAGGAACTGGAGAAGCTCCAGCCCAACATAGCGCTCTTACGTATTTGGGATTAATCTCCCTCAGCCAGAGGTTTCCTCAGTCCTGGGCAAATGCTCTAAACGTTAAGGAATCGAATAAAAGTGGGACATAATCACACTGTCACCACCATTGTAACTCAGCCAGCAAATGTTTTGCAGCTAAGGTTTTCAGTAAATTAGCGTCACACTGTGAATAATTTCAGGACTGGGAGTGCAATTTCTGTATTTTAATAAATTCATAACTTCAAGAAATTTAGCTCAGCTCTAGAAACCTTTTTTTTTTTACTGGTCTTCCAGTAGCTCTGTCTAGCATAATGTTTATGCAAAACCTAGTGCTTCCTTGAAAGGAAAGAAAATGTTTTTAAGGAATTGAAAGCACTGAAAATCATTCTTTGTTGGCGTAGATGAGCACTGAAGTAATATTTCTTTGTTCTACAGAAACTATAATGCTTTTTATAAAGCTGTTGGGTTTCTGAAAGCTGTAAACATGAATCCAGCTGTCAGAAACTTAATACACAGTCTCCTCTTCCATGCTGATGTCTTAACAACATTTTATTGTTAAGCCTGACAAGCTAGCTGCTTATTATGTGTCAAATTGGCTACTTTTTAAAATCATAAATTTTGCTTTATTCCAATTTTCACCAAATTAATTGAGCTGCATTTTAAGATGCGCTTGAACACAACAATAGAAAAGAGAATACAGAGATCAAGGATGCGATGCAGGGGCTGTGACCAGGAATTAAGTGATTAAAATTCCACCTACTTAAACGCTATAAGCCATGGACCTCATTAGCCAGTTGAGAGGGCTTCCCTGTATTAGTCCCTAATAGCTGATCCTTGGTTTCTTCTCAGTTCTGTGACTCCATTAGCACTTTCTTCTGCCTTCTCTGCATTGGAAGGCTAAACCTTCCACAAATCACACTCACTAACCACACAAGGACCTCCTCAACTTTACTGAAAAGATATGAGCGTAAACCAAGGCTTACACTTGTACACAACTCTCACGATCTAATTCCCAGATGGTTTGCCTTCATCTGAAAACAAGTGCATGTGCTAGGGCCAGGATTTGGGTTTCCACTGCAGGATGCCCTCCATCAGTGGAACACGGGATTTTAGGCAAGGCTAGCAGGAGGTACGTGGTGGGGAACATACATGGAGCGCTGGGCAGTGGCTCTGTCACCCACAGAAAATACAGCACTGAGCCATGTAAGGAGACAGAGGCAGAAGCACGGAGCTGCTCAGATCTTCTTAACTAAGGCAGATTTTCTCCTCACCCAGAGGCTGCTGCTCTGAGAGGGAGAGGTTTCAGGGCACAGCAAGACCTGGAAATTTCATTTATACAAAAGCAGATTCATTTAACAACTATCCAAAGAGAAACAAGCTGGCTCTTCTGGTTACCACACTGCAAAACAAACAAAATTAAAGGTCGATCCGTATAATCCATCCACACAATGCCATTCTCTTTTCTTATCTGCACTGGGCCCAGAGCAAAAGAAAAATTATTAATGTTCCAATTTCATATGCCATTAACTTTCTGGATGGTGTTAGAAACAAAGATAAAGCATTACTTTATCATACTAGAGACGAGAAACATGCCTGGACAGAAATGCCATTGTACGGGCTCTCTTCAGAGATGATTGCTAAGGAATACTAGTTTCACCAAAAGATGAAAAGAGAAGAAAAACATCTAAGTAATACCAAATTTTGCCCACAGCTGCCTAAGCGATCTTACCTTTGGGCTGCCAGGCTGACCCTGACGGTTTTCAGACGGCTTTTCAGTCGACTCCTGACTACCCACAACCCCTGCTGCTGTCCCTTGGAGCCTCGGAGAGGGAGTGGATGCTCCAGGGATACTACATCAGACCCTGCTGAGCTTTCCAGCCCGGGTGGGAACGTTTTCTGGCCCGTGGGAGCAACTCCACGTATGAATTCCTAAGCCCTGGTGGCTGGATTTGCCTAGTGAACAGCAGCTCCTATTTTCTTCTGAAGGATGAGTTAGCCCCAGGATGATGGGGAACAGGACCTCGAAAGGGGAATTGGTTGCTCTGGGGGAACGCAGGAAAGACACAACTTTGGCTGCAGCCTTCTGTGCTTCCGCACGGACAACTAATTTTGGCTGGGACCGCAGGCTGGTGAGCCTCCAGCGGGGCATGGAGCGAGGCAGGCTGTGTTCTTCAAACCTCGAGCAAGCGTCTCGGGGAGCTGGTGCCCTCTGTGCCTCTCCTCCATCACAAGGGGCATCGCTGCGGCTCTCACCCCATCTGATTCGCAATAGGAATATCTTGAATAAGCAAAAAAAGACTGCATGAAGAATCTGATCACTGCAGCCAAGGAGGGGTGTCAGGTTCTCATCTGAGAAAGACATGGGTCTGGAAGGCTTATATGAAACATATGAAGTCTCTCATTTAGCAATTTCACAAAGTTGCCAGCTGCAGAAAGAAAGGGGGAGCAACGCAGCTTTCACACGTTTGGAGGTCTTCAAAGGTAAGGAAGCAATGGTTCTCGCTGCAGCGGCCTGGAAATACTTCTCTGTCTTGGCTCTTTCTGGCTCCACAACGGTGCTAAGGAGGCCTGAAGCGTACCAAATGTTTCAGCTCTTCGTCAACTTTTTTTGTCATTTGTCAGCCACGCCGATTGCTGGCTCATCTCATTAGATAATACAGGCTAAGCAGCACATCATCAGGAAGAACGCCCTGCCAAGGTAAACCTACCTTGGTGATTTAATACAGCAAATGTATCCTTTCAGGCAGAAAAGCATCGCGGTTCCGTCTCTTGGGAACAGACTATGTTTTTCTCCCTCTGAACAGGGCCTGGTACCATGTGTCTCCTGGCCTATGGCGGGGCTCCTGCACATCACCGCAATTAACAGTACTTGTCTAATCACGTACTAGCACTTACAGACATGCCAGCTAGGAGACATAGCTGACATACCCACAAGGCGTTGTCACAGTCCTGTGACACCACTGCCACATTTGCCTCCAGTATCCCAGGGAATAAATCCAAGATTTCCCTTTTCCCACATTCTGTTTATCTAAATCCTCCCTCCCTTCTGTACCCCAGCAAGGCTGCCGCATCATTTGCTCAGCTCCTTCCCCGACTTTGAGGTATCATTGCTGACACACTTCTAATGAGCTGCCATGTATCATATATTGATCATCCTGGCCCCCACACATTCAAAATCTTGTATTTTTATACCTCTGACACCCTTCATTTCTTGCAGCCTCGCTTTTAAAGTTGAGCAAACCTGTTTCCCTGTAGTGACTGAACACCGAGGGTTTGAAGCTGAGCCATTTTTAAATTCCATTCTTATGAGCAATTATAACTGACGTGATGTTGTGCTCGCTGCTGTTCCAGTCGAGAGTCCCAGCGCGGTTGCTTCTTTTTCCTTAGCCTGAAATTCGCCAGTGAGTTTATTGCTCATCCAAGTGGGTGACTAAC